CTAAGGCCAAAGGTGAAGAAATTGAAGATTTTTACAAACTTCTGCAGTCTGAAATTGATCAAACATGCAATCAAGATGCATTGATAATTACTGGTGATTGGAATGCGAAAATTGGAAACAAAGAAGGACTGGTAGTTGGAAAATATGGCCTTGGTGACAGAAACGACAACAGAGACCATATGATAGAATTTTGCAAGACCAATGCCATCATTGCAAGTACCTTTTTCAACAACATAAATGGCAACTGTACATGTGGACCTTGCCAGATAGAATACACAGGAATCAAATTGATTGTATCTGTGGAAAGAGATGGTGGAAAAGCTCAATATCGTCAATCAGAACCAGGCCAGGGGCCAACTATGGAACAGACCATCAACTGCTCATATGCAAGCTGAAGTTGAAGAAAATTAGAACGAGTCCACATGAGCCAAAGTATGACCTTGAGTATATCCCACCAGAATTTAGAGACGATCTCCAAACTAGATTTGACACATTGAACACTAATGACCGAAGACCAGGTGAATTGTGGAATGACATCAAGGACATCATACGTGAAGAAACCAAGAGGTCATTAAAAAGTCAGGAAAGAAAGAAAAGACCAAAATGGATGTCAGAAGAGACTCTGAAAGTTGCTGTTGAAAGTAGAGTAGCTAAAGCTAAAGGAAGAAATGATGAAGTAAAAGCCGAACAGAAGATTTCAAAGGGTGGCTCGAGAAGACAAAGTATTATCATGAAATGTGCAAAGACCTGGAGTTAGAAAACCAGAAGGGAAGAACACATCTGGCATTTCTCAAGCTGAAAGAACTGAAGAAAAAAATTCAAGCCTCAAGTTTCAACACTGAAGGGTTCTACAGGGAAATTATTAAATGACCCAGGAAGCGTCAAAAGAAGACGGAAGGAATACACAGAGTCACTGTACCGAAAAGAATTGGTGCACATGCAACCATTTCAGTAGGTAGTGTATGATCAAGAACCGATGGTACTGAAGAAAGAAATCCAGGTTGCACTGAAGGCATTGGGGAAAAACAGGGCTCCAGGTACTGACAGAATACCAACTGAGATGTTTAAACAAATGGATGCAGCACTGGAAGTGCTCACTTGTCTATGCCAAGAAATTTGGAAGACAACTACCTGGCCAGCCGACTGGAAGAGATCCATATTTGTACCCAATCCAAAGTAATCCAACAGAATGTGGAAATTATCAAACAATATCATTAATATCACACACAAGTAAAATTTTGCTGAAGATCATTCAAAAGCAGTTGCACAGTACATCAACAAGGAACTGCCAGAAATTCAAGCCAGATTCAGAAGAGGATGTGGAACAAAGGATATCGTTGCTTATGTCAGGTGGATCCTGGCTGAAAGCAGAGAATACCAGAAAGATGTTTTCCTGTGTTTTATTGACTATGCAAAGGCATTCAACTGTATGGATCATAACAAATTATGGATAACATTATGAAGAATGGGAATTCCAGAACACTTTAAATTGTGCTCTTGAGGAACCTGTACTTAGACCAAGAAGCAGTTATTCGAACAGAACAAGGGGATACTGCATGGCTTAAAGTTAAGAAAGGTGTGCATCAGGGTTGTATCCTTTCACCATATTTATTCAGTCTGTATGCTGAGCCAATAATCCGAGAAGCTGGACTATATGAAGAAGAATGTAGCAGGCATCAGGATTGGAGGAAGACTCATTAACAACCTGCAATATGCAGATGACACAATTTTGCTTACTGAAAGTGAAAAGGACTTGAAGGAAGCACTTACTGAAGAAGATCAAAGACTATAGCCTTCAGTATGGATTACACCTTAAGATAAAGAAAACAAAAATTCTCACAACCGGACAAATAAGCAACATCATGATAAACGGAGAAAAGATTGAAGTTGTGAAGGATTTCATTTTACTTAGATCCATAGTCCACACCCACGGAAGCAGCAGTAAAGAAACCGAATGATGCATTGCACTGGGCAAATCTGCTGCGAAAGACCTCTTTAAAGTGTTAAAAGCAAAGGTGTCTGTCACCTTGAAGACTAAGGTGCGCCTGACCCAAGCCGTGGTGTTTTCAGTTGGCTTATATGCATGTGAAAGCTGGACAATGAGTAAGGAAGACCGAAGGACAGTTGATGTCTGTGAATTACAATGTTAACGAAGAATATTGAATATACCGTGGGCTGTGAGAAGAACAAATAAATCTGTCTTAGAAGATGTACAACCAGAATGTTCCTTGGAAGCAAGGATGGCGAGACTTCGTCTCACATACTTTGGACATGTTATCAGGAGGGACCAGTCCCCGGAGAAGGACATCATGCTTGGTAAAGTAGAGAGTCAACGCAAAAGAGGAAGACCCTTAATGTGTTGGATTGACACAGTGGCTGCCAACAGTGGGCTCAAATATAGCAATGACTGTGAGGATGATGCAGGACTGGGCAGTGTTTCATTCTGTTGTACATAGGGTCGCTATGATTCAGAACCGAATTGACAGTACCTAACAACAACAACATGCACATACAATATTGGACTCTGGAGAACCTACTGGTATTGAAAAAATTGCAGTGAACTAATAAATAAGAACCAGAACAACAGTTTATTAATATGCATAGGAAGAATAATCATTAGATACTTGTGTTAACCAATAAACACATTCCTAGTAGCCAAAGCAACTTGAGAAGCCAAACTATAGTCAGGAAGTTGATTAAAAAGCACAGAGTCAGAGAAAGGAGTGTTAAATGGGTGATACTAATGACTGTTGTCATCAGATTAGGTAGGATAACTCCCATGCCCTTTCTAGGTTTATACCAGAAACTCATAGTCACTGTTCATAGTTTGCCTGTTACTCTTTTTCTGTGCTTACATTACTGACCAATCCCCCTTCTGATTGACATTCATTTTTTAGATGTGTTTTTGTCTATAATCAAATTATGCTCATATTATGACTTGAGAGGCACCTCTTATTTTACTTCTAAGGTGACTTCTCATGTTATTTCTCTGATCTAATCTAATTTATATTACACAGTTCATGTATGAGGGAGTAATTTTATTTCCAAGTACTTGGAAGAGATTTCATTATTTTTATGTTTTATTTTACATTGAAGATATATATTATGAGCATTTTTTTTTTCAAAGTCTGTTTTGCCTTCAAGATAAACAAGGATAGTCAGTAATTCTTGAGTGACTGTAGTCATTCAGGCAGACTTAAATTTTTGACATAATTTTTTGAAAGACTTATTATACTTACGTAAAAGTAAAATTCAGAGACACCAGATAATGTGTGTTAACTGCTGAACACATTCTGTTTATTTAGGTCTACTGATAAATAAGACACTCATAATCTCAAAGAGTTCACAGTCTGTGGGGAGGACACATCAAGAAAAAACCTAATGTGGAAAATTCTATAATAGAGGAAAAGATAGAGTATTAAGCATTACAGGAAGGGAACTCAACTTGGGGACTACACCTTCAGTTCAAGGGCATAGAAAAAATGCCCATCTGCCCATAACCAAAGTTAACAAGGAAACTTTTCTGCTTGAACCGAGACTCTCCGTAGGAAAAAAAAAATCTCCCCTAAGAATTTATAAGCATAGGCCCGCCCTCGTGGATTTGAACTTACATTAGCAGGATGGTCTGGGAGTCCCTAAACTAAAAAAGTAATGTGCAAAGTGGTTCCTAAAGTACTTGGCAAACATAAGCATAAAACACTTTGAAGAGAGGCGCTCCCGGTTTAGACGACACAATTTCCTCAGAGTAGACCCTGAATTCACGGTCTAGTATTACAAAACACATAAGGAAGCAAGTTACCAGGAGAAAGAACCAGCAGACAAAAGAAACAGCAGGGTTAGAAACTATAAAATAATACGTTTAAATGATTAATGATTCAAAGCTCTGTATCTGAGTTATTATGCACATAGAACAGAAAGAAATAACACTATTTAAATTAAAAATTCATGCAGGATTGAACATTAGATTAGACTCACAGATAAAGAGAGAAAAAGTGAACTGGATCATAAATGTGAGGGAAAGATCCAGAATGTAGCACAGAAGGAATAGCGATTTGTAAATATATGAAGTAGAGGTTAGGAAACATGACAGGTAGAAAGTTCAATATATATCTAATAAGATTTTCTAAAGAAGAGAATAAAATAAGGACTATCAAAGAGAGAATGGCTGATAATTTTCAGAACTGATATGAGTCTCAGACTCAGGAAATACAAGTAGTCTGAAACAAGATAAATCAAAAGAAATCCACACCTAAATACATGATAACAACCAGAAATAAAAAGATCTTAACAGCAACCAGAGATAAAATATAAAGGAACAATATTAGGCTGACGGTAGACTTCTCAACATGACATTGGAAGCTAGAAGGCAGTGGCTAATACTTTCAACATGCTGAAATGAATAACTGACAACTAGAATTCTCTACCCAGCTACACTATCAGTTAAGAGTGAGACTGAAGTAAGACATTTTTCAAAGCCTGGGAGAATTTACTATTAACAGAACCTCACTGAATGAACTACTAAAAGATGTTCCATAGCGAGAAGGGAATTTAACCCAAAGAAAGGAGTAAAATGCAAGAAACAAATGTTTGGGGAGGCGGTGTAAAAAGAAAACGAACTTGCATTTCTACATCTTATTTCCTTTTCCTTGAATGTGGAGAATATATAGGATTTACTATTATTATAAACATTTTCCTAAGGCTCTCTATATAATAGAACTGAGTTTGACCTTGCGTTAAAGAAAAAGACTACTCACCTGAAGTACAATTAAAAAAAAAAAAAAAAAGACTTCTTTTTAAAAGAGGAAAAGTTGATTTTCATCTGGACAGAAATAGACCAAAATATTAACAGTGATTGTTTTTGAATTGTAGGTTATCACTGATTGGGGTTTTTCTTTACCATTTTCTAGTTTTTTTAATGAATATATATTTTTTTTATTTTAGTCAGGGGGAAAAAAACTATTTTTAGAGAGGCATTTAACAATAATTCTTCTTTCACTTAGGTCAAATCCTTTTTATGAACCCAAACCAACTCCTCCTCCAAATAATTTGGTAAATCCAACTCAAGAACTGGAAACTGAAAGGAGAGTAAAAAGAAAGGCTCCAGCCCCACCTGTCATCTCACCAAAGACAGGAGGAGTAAATGAAAACACAGCTGTTTGTGCAGGAAGAGATCGCTCGACTTCTCCTAAGGTAGGATCTTATTTTTAGCAAAGCGTGTATTTATGTATGTGCTTTTTTTTTTCCCCATGTACTATAATTCATATTAAGAAAAGTCATCATTAGCCTCTACTGGTACTTTATTAAATGAAAAAACAAGTACGTAACAGAGTAAATATCCCTTTTGTATGTATAAAGTTTTATTTAAAAAACCTTATATGTACACATATATACATACATATACATACTTATATACATTGTGGAAGGAATCACAAGTAGCTTTATAATAGTGGTTGCCTTTGAAGAGAAGGTCTTCGTGGGATGCAGGGTAGGCAGAACATTGAGGAAGACATTTCCTTTCATTTTTACCTTTCTATATTGTTTGAATTTTTTAACATTATACAGGTTTTATTTTTGTTTATTAATAGAGGTTACTGGGTAATAAGGTCATAAAGAAAAAACAAACCTGTTGCCGTTGAGTCAATTCTGACTTATAGTGACCCTATAGGATAGAGTAGACTGCCCCGTAGGGTTTCCAAGGAGCGGCTTGTGGATTCAAATTGCAGACCTTTGCAAGGAGCAGCCGTAGCTCACTGTAGCTCTTAACCACTGTTCCACCAGGGCTCCAGTAACATCACGGACATGTTTTTTTTGTTGTTGTTATTACTTTCTATGTATCATATATACAAGTTAAAACATGTTGCTGCTGAGTCAATTCCAACTCACAGACACCCTATAGGACAGAGTAGAACTGCCCTCATAGGGTTTCCAAGGCTGTAATCTTTACAGAAGCAGACTGCCACATCTTTCTCCTGTGGAGCAGTAGGTGGGTTCAAACTGCTGACCTTTTGGTTAGTAGTGGAGCAGTTAACCACTGCATGACCAGGGGTCCTTTTATGTACAAGATAATATTTTCTAAAAAAAAAAAAAATGTGCCCCTTAGAATAGAGCAAATCACTCTTAGGGTAGACCAGCAATATTAAAACTGATTGTGCCCTGGGATCCACCAGGTTCCTCTGTGTTCTTCACTAGATACCAGGTGTGGAGGCTTAGCAGCAGAGCTCTAGACCCCTTGTTCCACTTGCACAGTGCAAATCCATATACATTCATTTTGTATACTGGAGTTCCTGTAAGATTTCATTTGAAAAAAAAGTAGACCGTTGCCAAACCCAAAAAGAAAAAAAAAAAGGAAACGACTTTACTACACAATTATGTATGAGATAAGGCAGTAGATTAGAATCAATGGCATACTGACAATCATAAAAATGATAAATGGCCACAGAAGAAGAAGATAAAACAATAACTGTCAAAGCCTAGCAGTATGGGGCTTATTCATCACAGGAATAAACTTGTATATCTCAATAGTTTCTGAAGACTTCGCAGTGTTAAAACTTAATAAAATAATTGATCATTTTGACAACCTTGAGTCAACATGAAAGAGTCATATTATGTTTAGTATACAATATTCTGTTTAGGAGAGTGTGTTATACATTAAACTATTTTCATTAAAATTTTTAAAGGGTTTTGATGCTTATAAAGGTATGCTTAAGTTACCTGTAAAATGTACTTACTGAAGTACTGTCTTCCTCTATAAGATTGGGTAAATGGGGTGTTACTCTGTGTATCGTATGCTCTCTGGGTTAGTACTCTTTTAGCTATGGTTATAGAAACAAGCCATTTGGTTGAAATTTTTTGCTTAAGCAAAACGGTAGCTTATCATAAAGACATGTTGCAGAACCCTAGACAGGCATACAGCTGGACCTCAGGAACAAATAGAAGTCAGCTTCCATGTATCTGCTTCTCTCTCTGGAATGACTTCAGTCTGCCTTAACCTTTTTAATGATAATTTATTCAGGCCTGTTTTCTCCCTGCAAAAGCAGTTTATGTTCTGGAATTTCCTATCTCCCTCATACAAAGCCCCCTTCTGCAGTATACCCGACCTTCGCAAAAGGTTAAGAACAAATTAGATTGAATCAACTACTTTTTCTTAATACGTATGTGGACCCTCCCAGAATTACTTTTTAAGATCCTGTTATCCACATGAGTCTCTGGTTAATAGAATTTCAGTTGCAATTAGGATCATCTGTGGGCAATAGAAAGTCTCAAATGACAGCTAAATAAAAGAGAAATTTATTTCTGTCTTTAAAACATTGAAGGTCTATGCTGATACAGTAGCCTCACAAAGTCATCAGGGACTTAGTCTTCTATTTTGCTGCTCCGCCATCCTCAGCATAGACTTCCACCCCATGGTCCAAGATAGTTGCTGGAGTCACTGCCAGTATGCTGTATTCCATTCAGCAGAAAGACGGAAGGAACAAAATATAGCCACACCCCACCTCTAGCAAAGAGGCTAGAAAATGAATCTTTATTCTGAATGACTGTGTTACCCAGCTAAAAATCAAGGGTTCTAGGCATTGAAGGCTCAGTGGTAGAATTCTTACCTTCCATGTGTAAGACTCAAGTTTGATTTCTGGCCAGCGCACCTCAAGCACAGCCACCTCCCATCTGTCAGCGGAGGCTTGCATGTTGGTATGATGCTAAACAGGTTTCAGTGGAGCTTCCAGAGTAAGACAGACTAGGAAGAAAGGCCTGTTGATCTACTTCTGAAATCAGCCAGTGAAAACCCTATGGATCACAACAGGCCAGTTGGCAACAGATCATGGGGATGGCACAGGTCTTGGCACTGTTTTGTTTCATTATGCTTGAGGTCGCCATGAGTCAGGAGCCGACTTAATGGCAACTAACAACCACATTACTAAGGAAGAGGGTAGGTAGAATGGATATTAGGGGACAATTAGCAGGCTCTACCATAGATCCAGGAGTGCTGGTGGCACAGTGGTTAAGGGTTAGACTGCTAACCAAAAGGTCAGCGGTTCAAACCCACCAGCTGCTCCCTGAAAACCCTATGGGGTAGTTCTACTCTGTCCTATAACATTGCTGTGAGTCAGAAACGACTCAGCGGCAATGGGTTTGGTCTTTTTCTTTTGTTTTTTTTAACCATAGATCGTTATTTAAAATGTTTTATTGTGGAGATGCTAATGAGCCCAAATCTTGGTGTCCCTACTATGAGAAAACCTGAATAATACCTACTCAAAACAGTAATATAAAAATGACATTTAAAAACCAATCATGCAACTTTTAAAGGGAAATCATCAGAATATTTTGCAATAGAACATAAGAAGTCAAGGAACAGTACAATAGAATGCAAAAAAAAATCACGAACAAACAAAACACCAAGCTATCAAAAGTTGAATAGTATTTCCTTCAAGATCAGTTCACTGCATTTATATAATGATATCAGAAAAGATATGTTAATTTTCAGAGTGTGGAATTACTGGTAAGGAAATTGAGATACTTTTTTTTTTTTTTTTTTTGTACGGATGATATCAATTCTAAAAAATATTTGGATATATGCACTGCAGGGCCAGGATGAGGATGAGGCAAGAGAGGTTCCTAGGGCTCAAAATTTAAAGAGGCACACACTGTCAGGTTAGTGGAGGTGCGGACTCTGCGTTTGCATGACCCTAAGAGTAAACACCTCCTGAAATGTTGCACTCTAAGACACACCTTGCCTCACCCCAGTCCTGGCCCTAGTTCACAAGTGGGGCAGATCTAACAGACAAATGTGTAATAGCAATAATCCACTTACAGGCCTTTGCAAACCGAAAAAGAACCAACAACCATAGCATCAGGAAGAAAACCGCTAAGAGTTTGCCTCTTGATTTTTCTCAGTGTATTCAATGGGGGTAGTAAAAATAAGAAATTTTGTTTTAAAAAACAAACCATAATTAAAATGCTTGCCTTTTAAAACAAACTTGTGGAGTATTTAAATGTGGTTTTGCAAGATTGCTCTTTTATATCAGTATGTCCTGGAGTAACCGTATTAAGGTGCCTGTCACAGTTTTCCAACTGAGGATTGAATTGCCATTTTTCCTTAGGGAGACAGAAGTGCCCCCACAGAGGAGAAGAGCCCTAATAAAGTAAATAAATTACTTGTGTACTTTAATGATAAAAAATGGCTCATAAGTTTGGCTTATTTGCTAAATGCTTTATAAAGTCTAAGCAGTCAGAAATAAAGGACAAAATTGAGGGTTCTTGCTGTATATTGACAGGGTCTTTTTAGCGTACACTGTTGAGGAGCCCTGGTGGTGCAGTGGTTAAAGCACTCAGCTGCTAACTGAAAGGTCAATGGTTGAAACCCACCAGCTGCTCTGTGGGAGAAAGATGTGGCAGTCTGCTTCCGTAAAGGTTTATTTACAGCCTTGGAAACCTTATGGGGCAGTTCTACTCTTGTCCTACAGGGTCACTATGAGTCAGAATTGATTTGACGGCAGTGGTTTGGGTTTTTTTGTTTTTTTAATTGATGATAAATGTGAAGGAAGCACCAATGAGCTTACCTTTTACTGCATGATGAAGAGGAACTTAACTGGAGTGTTTGAACAGATTCACACAAACTATGACAGAAGCCTTCTTAACTCCCAGTACTGGATGAACTTCATTCTGTAACAATAAGAAACAAAGAAATAAAAATGAAAACACCCATAACAGGGTGCACAGCAGGGCCAGGTCTAGTGTGAGGCCAGAGAGGCAACTAGAGTGTAAAATGTAAGGAGGTGCTGACTCTGGGGGTTGTCCAGGTGCAAACTAGGCACTCGTGTGAACCTGAGAGTTAGTGCCTCCTTAAATTGGTCTACAAGTGCCTCACTCTTAAGGAGACAGTCATTCTCAGTGTCGTGCATGAACCCCAAACTGAGTGCTTCCTTAAATTTTGCAGAAAAAATTGGTCAGAAAAAGAGGACCAATCTTGGTCATCAGAGCAAATGACCTCCTATAAAACAAACTTACCACAAAAGCAAAAGAAAACTATTTTTAAAAACCTTCTAATTAATATTCTTAGTACAATTCAACATTCCAATAATAAATGGAACAAGAGCAAGTAATCACCAAAAATAATGATCTGAGGCAAAATGTTGATGGTTATTTATTGTACTGTACTTGCAGCTTTTCTGCAGGTTTGAAATTTTCCAAAATAA